TGTAAATAAAATGAATTGAAAAAACTTGATATTTTGCCTCGGTAATAGAAATGTGAAAAATAATTTGGGACGGAGGGAGTAATAAAATCAAAATCAAATCTCATTATATTCAAGAGAAGATCATAGGATTAGATCTAAATCAACCTCAGCAGATCGAGTATAAAATTAGAAACTAAGAGCAAAAACTTGGAACTAGATCTAATGGTCGCCGACAATCTGGCAATTCTAATTCTCGATCAAATTGTTCATGCCGAGAAGCTGATTCCATAGCGTCTTCTACGGCAACCATCGATGAAGAAGATCTATGGAGTAAATCTAAATCCAATTCACTCATTGACCATTGTTGGTTCCTCCACCTTGATTACTCCCTATAAGTGACTAGAGGTGGGTGACAACGACAACATCTGGGCACTGAACTGAAAGAAGAAAAAAGCAGTCTTCATATCTAGGATGGACACCGATTAGGGAGAATGTAGAATTATGATTTTCTATATTAAACAAGAAGGACCAAGCCCCGTATATAAAACTATATATACATACAAAGGGATCCTAACTTTGGTAGGAGAATAGTAAGGAAATCCTATACAAAGGGAAATTACCACATACACAATATTTATATACTCTCTTCGTCTTATAAAACCTTTTTCCTTTCTTTTTTTATCCGTCCCACAAAACACTTCTCATTTCTATTAAAAAGTCACTTTTACCCCTTACTTTTTCATACCCGGCCCTAACTATCACATCATACCTTTTTACTAATAATCTATCTATCAAATCATACTTTTACCCATCACATCAAAGTACATTTTTGGAAATTCAATACCAAAATACACTCCCTTAAATCCCTCCTAAAAAGAAAAACTCCAATGTTTCACGGGATGGAGGGAGTATTAAATATACTAAATATATTTAACATGCGTCCAGCTACGTGATCGGTAAAAGACGGATGCTAAGACTATGTCTAAAGTCGGTGAAGAGGAGAGATGGGAGCCCTTTGGTGAAGATGTCAGCATCTTGAGAAAAAGATGGAACATGGAGAATGCGAACTTGTCTCTGACAAAGTGTATGTCAACCTCTACGTGTTTAGTGCGTTTAGTGCGCTGGTGTTGAACAGGGTTGGATGACAGATACATGCACGACCCTAACATTATCACAGAATACCAGTGTAGTGCAACGCAAAGGCTGCTGTAGCTCTAGGAGAAGATTTCGGATCCAGCTCGCCAACTTCCAACACATTGCTTGTCTAATGAAAGGGTGCAAAGTTATGATCATGAGTTCCGATACCACGAGGAATTATGATTTTCAATGTTCAACAAGGAGGACCAAGCCCCGTATATATACATACAAAGGGATCCTAACTATGGTAGGAGAATGTTATGGATTATATAGTAGGATATTAGATTATATATTTATTAGTTTATTATTATTATTATTATTATTATTATTGTTATTATTATTATTATTGTAATGTAGATTTTATTAGGTGAGCAAAATTATAAGCTTCTTCGAGGTTTCTTTACGGTTCTTTCCCTCGTCGCTTTTATTGAACCATTAGGTTAGCGTTAGGGTTTCCTTATTCCTTATATATAGAGATGTAACCCCTTTAGAATAATTAATCAATAAACAAATCAAAACCCTAATCTCTTCTCCTCTCTCGGTTCGCCGATTCTCTTCGTCCTAATTCTTCTTCTTCCTCGTCTCATATTCTCAAGAGCTTGAAGACGCTCTAAGTCTTCCCTATCCGATACGAGTCCGTATCATTGGTGCTCTCATTGATTTGAACACCTAAAAACCAAAAAAAAAAAAAGAATTGCAGCCGTTGGTAGCCGAACAGATCAATTTACTACTAACCAGGAGTCGCAGGCGCTAGATTGTTCCTCTTCAACACCGTCACAAACTGGCCAAAATTACTTATTTGCGGCTAATTGCTTTGGTTGTCAAAATTGCTTGATTTGTCGTCGCTGACTAATTGTTGCCGCCGAGGTATTATTATTATTATTATTATTATTATTATTATTAGTATTATTATTATTATTATTATTATTATTGTTGTTGTTGTTGTTGTTGTTGTTGTTATTATTATTATTGTAATGTGGATTTTATTAGGTGAGCGAAATTATAAGCTCCTTCGAGGTTTCTTTACGGTTCTTTCCCTCGTCGTTTTTATTGAACCGTTAGGTTAGCGTTAGGGTTTACTTATTACCTATATATAAAGATGTAACCCCTTTAGAATAATCAATCAATAAACAAATCAAAACCCTAATCTCTTCTCCTCTCTCGGTTCGCCGATTCTCTTCGTCCTAATTCTTCCTCTTCCTCGTCTCATATTCTCAAGAGCTTGAAGACGCTCTAAGTCTTCCTTATTCGATACGAGTCCGTATCAGAGAATAATAATAAGGAAATTCTATACAAAAGGAAACTACCATATACACAATATTTATATATTAAATATTAAATATACTAAATATATTTAACATAGAAGAAATAGAAAGACAAAGGCGATTTGACAACGAAGAAGAAAGGGGGGGACTTACGACGAAGAACATGGGATGAAAAAACAGGGTGATTTGAAGAAGAAGGAAAAGTGGGACTTATGAGGGGGGCTAAGGTGAGAGAGAATAAAGAAAAAATGTAAAAGAAAATGGAGCACATATTAGTCTTTTTAATAAAATTTATTTACCAAATTAGGAAACACGAAGAAAGATATTAAACGACCCAAAAAGGAAAACGTGAAGAAAGATATGAGACGGAGGGAAATATCTTTCTTCTCATTTAACTTTTTACATTTTTCAGTGCATAATTTTGTTCATTCATATCTTCTTTTATATATTATCTTTCTTCTCATTTGAAATTTTACATACATTATAAAAATATGATATTTCAAAAGTATGTTTTAAAAATGAAACAATTGGTATTATATTTGTTTTCACAATCCAATTTATTTTTATCGTAATTTGTGGTCAATTTAAAAAATGTAACTTTGACTACAAAAGACAAAACAAGAAGAGAGATATAAGAGATAGAGTACACCTTAATACGGTTTGAGAAAAGAGGTTTTCTCCCATGCCTTCTTATTTCAAAGGGCATGGATGCCCTCCCATTTAAATAGTGATATGTGGACAAATAATAAAGAGAGTTAAATGTATGGAGCATTTCACAAAGTTTAATATGGAGCAACGTTAATTTCAAAATTTGCAAAATGCTCCCTCTAAATGGCAAACATTACTCTTATCAATTATTTAATCCACCATTTATTATTTTTTCCTTCTTTAAACAAATCACTCAAAATAAAAATAAAATATTTATCTCCAAAATATTATCTCTGTCTGAAGTATTTGTCCAGTTTTGTACAGTAATAATTTGATATTGTATATCGGCATTCTATAAGTATTTTTTGATATTATATATTGACATCACTGTTAAAACTTCTTTTTTTTTGAAGGACTGTTAAAACTTCTTATTTAGAAATGAAATATGGAAATCCTATTTTATATGTTTTTTATGTTTTACTCATAGTTTAGTCTTTATTAATACTTCAAAAATATAATCTGGCCATCTCAATCAAAACTTAATCATATTTAATTACTACCTTTGTCTATAAGTATTTGTATAGTTTTAACTTTTTACAATAAAAATAGATAAAATTTAAACATTAATTAAATAAAATTTATATTAGATATTTATTCAAGAATAATTTTATTAGATAGATTTATCTTGTAAAATATTTTTTTTTAGATATTATTTTATCAAACTAATATCCCAAATAAATTTTTATTATCGATTCTTGTTTTTTAGAAAAAACCAAAGTTGGACAAATATTCAAGGACGAAGATAGTGATTATGAATTTATAGACCAAATTTTGGAGCTTTACAAAATTCAAAGGGTTTTGAAGAAATTGATTGTAATTCAAAATTTGAAATTAATTATTTTTAATTTAAACTTTTTGGTAGTAGTAACGGCCAAAATTAAAATACTAATGAATTATTCTTCATTGGAATTTTTTGACAAAACTCTACAAAATATACTACGTACAATCTTACGTTGAAACTCTGCTAAATCTTTTAGACAAAATTAACTTTTCATAATGTTCAAAATGTAATTCAAACACCCCAATATTTTGTATTTGTGTGCATTATATTCATTGTGTCGATCATTTGATAAAATAAAATAGACATGTCACCACTTGCTTTGTAAAACTTTTGATGTAGTTTTTTTTAAATATATACAAGTTATAGTTTTATTTCTATACAATTAAGTAAATTAATTATTTGGAAATATATACAATTTTTCATGTTTGAAATATAATGATAATTTTGGAATGGATAGAGTATACAAAGCATGATCGGACGCAGAATATAACAATATTGTTTTTTTAAATAAATACATATGGGATAATATTAAAATAAGTATGTACAAGAAAGTTTTTTATTTTAATTTTCAATAGAACCAAACACAATTATTATTATTATTACTATTCTGATAAAATATTTTTAATAAATTAAAAATTCAATTGAAATTTCATTTAAAATTTTTAAACAAGAAGAGATCAGATGGTTTTGCAAATTTTGATATAGAGTGATGGGTGCCATTTAGAGAGAGCGTTTTGCCAATTTTGAAACTAATTAACTATGCTCCATATTAAACTTTGTAGAATACTTTCATTATTATTTGTCCACATGTCACTATTTAAATAGAAGGGCATCCATGCCCTTTGAAATGAGAAGACATGGGAGAAAAATCTTTGAGAAAAAGACTAAAGTTAGAGTAAAAATACATATATAGTGTCAATCATGACTATTTACATTACAAAAAACTATTGTAAAATTTTCATATACAGAGCCACTACATTAGTACAATGCAAATTCTTATTTTAGAAATCAAAAATGGAATTTTCATGTTGATATATTCTCTATCTTTTATTTTTATTCCTATATAGGTGATTTCATATGTTGTTTTGGTCTGACCATAAACTCATACGGATTATATATACTGCATGTAGGGTTTCCTTGGACGAAAATGGGCGAGATGTAACTGGAAGACTCTGTCAAAAACATACAAAGTTACAATACATGACACAATACAGCAACATGCCGCCCTTAGTGCTAAAGGCTACCGCTCGCTTATTTACAGGTTTTTTTTGGGTTCACTTATATACTCAGGGTACAAGTTTCTCGTTTTTTTTGGTTCTTGAATTGACTTAAGTAAGAAATCACCTCCCAATAAATTAGTTATCCCTTTTCTAAATCATATAAAAAATTCTCTTCATCCCAAAATTATATTCTCTATCCAAACGACGTGTTAAATCACGTAATTTTTAATACGGAGTATGATCTTAATTATTTACCATTTAGTACATAAATAGAAATAAATTTACATATTTAAATATTTTATCAAAATTTTTATAAAACAAGTCATGACAAAAATATTTTATTTTATCAAATAATCCATGATAAAATGTTGAGCATACATGTAGTAGAAATAGAATAAATTTAAGGATGTATATATATATATATATATATAAATATAAATATAATATATATATATATATATATATATATATATATATATATATATATATATACCCGAAAATAACCACCAAAACCAGTGGGGTAAGGTCCAGGCCACCCTTACAAATTTATTAGAGAACACAATTAATACACGTCCGGGGAGGACTAGACCGAAGCCCCGAAAGTAAAACAAAAAAGAAAGTCAAAAGACAAACAAGAAGGTCAACCTCAGAGTCTGACCGACAAACACCATCAATTACATCTCACGTAGATCACCTTCTCCCCCTTCTCTTCGAGACTACCTGCCATCTAAATCTGTAACCCAACCGATTGCAGAAGTGGAATCCTTCCGCCTTGAATCTCCTTCCCAGACAGAAAGAACAGGTTAAAGCCCTGGTTAGTGAGATTGTTATCCAAGATCATCCATTTTTTCCTCCTCTTCTTCCAACTCCAGTCTCTTAGTGTTTCTAGGATACCCCGCTTGACCTTTGAAATGTTAGGCGAGTCTGATTCATAGATTATTCTATTGTATTCTTTCCAAATATGCCATACAATAATCCCTGGAAGGATGCCACGCAAATGTCCTTTGAGGTTATTCCTTCTTTGAGTAAGGTTCCATTTCAAAATGTGTTGATTAAGGTTTAAGTTGCTTCTAGGAGTAGGTCCATCTACTGCCTCTGCAAAGAACCTCCAAAGACCCATACTACACTCACACTAAAGTAGGACATGATCTTTAGATTCTTCCTTACTCTTGCATAGTGGGCATACAGAGGCTAGGTGCACCCCCATTGTCCTTAGCCTTTCTGGAAATGGTAGTAATGAATTGATAACTCTCCAAAGGAAGAACTTTACCTTGGGAATTTGATCCTTATTCCAGCAGTAAATGTAATTAATTTGAGTGGGTCTGGTTTGTCTGCAAATGTTGTATGCCTTTTTAAGAGTGAATTCTCCATCTTTCCAGACTATCTGTTCACCCAAATCAATGCTATATTCTGAGGCAATGTTGTGAATTCTGCAAATCCTTTTTCCATACAGGCGAGTCATAAAGTCTTTCTTCAAAATCCATTTGTCTAAGGTATTTGATTCTCATAAACTTGGCCCATTTGGTAGTGTCTGTTTGCACTTTCCACCAAAGTTTAATTGAATAAGCATCCTGGATATCCTCCAAACTTCTCAGACCAAGCCCTCCCTCTGCAGTTGGAACACAAATGTTGTTCCACTGACTCCAATGATACTTAGGCTTACCATCCTTGAAACCCCAAAGAAAATTAGCCATTTTCATGTGAAGACTTTTAATGATTGATTGGGGAAGACTGTGGACTGCAATGATGTGGAGAGGGATTGAAAATAATACATGTTTGATTAGAACCAGCCTCCCCATAGGATTTAGAGTAGTGCTGAACCAAGAATTCAAATATTTGTCAAAGTGATCCAATAGTTTAGAACAGTGGTGTTTCTTTAGCTTACCTTTGATCATAGTAGCCCCTAGGTAAGTGAATGGAAGGGTCCCATGACCCATGCCCAGGGACTCTGTCATGGTGGCAATTTTAGTGTTACTGACCTTTTTTCCAGTATAAAAGCAGCTTTTGTGAATGTTAATCTGCTGGCCAGATCCCTTCCGATAGTCAACTAAAATCCTCTTGAATTTAGAAAGATTTCTAGAATCTCCATTCAAAAAAACCACTAGGTCATCTGCAAAAGCTAGATGACTGATCATAGGGTGATTACAAGTGTTGAAGCAACGCAAACCATTGTTACTCATATGAAAATTGATCATTCTTGAGAATCCTTCACTGCTGATCAGAAAAAGGAGAGGGGATAGAGGGTCTCCTTGTTTTACACCCCTCTTCATTTGGAAGAATCTAGCTGGTGTTCCATTAATCAAAATGGAAAGATGTGATCCCACCAAGTTAGCCATTAAGATGTTTTGAGAGTAGTCATTAAATCCCAGAAGATTCAAAATTTTCTTAAGATAGCTCCATTCCACTCTATCAAATGCCTTGGCCATATCCAGTTTAATAATGCAATTATCTCCCCTAACCTCCTTGTCAATCATATGGACCATTTCCTCTGCCAAAAGAATTTGTTCTTGCACACCCTTGTTCTTTTGAAAACCAGTCTGTTCTTCTGAGATGATTTTAGGAAGCAGAGTAGCTAGTCTAGAGGCCAGAATTTTGGTGTTAATTTTACTCATGAAAGTAGAGAGGGATATGGGTCTGAAATCACCAAAACTTTTAGGGTCATCAACTTTAGGAATCAGAGTAATGAAAGTGCTCCCAAAGGACTTAGGAACTGGGATTCCCAAAAAGAACTCCTGGCAGGCTAGAATAACATCCTTCTTGATAATGTGCCAACAAGTTCTGAAGAAGTAACCATTGAATCCATCAGGGCCAGCTGCACTGTCTGGATTAAGAGCCCAAACTGCAGAGAAGATCTCTGATTCTGTAGGCATAGAGCATAAGAGCTGATTGTCCAGATCATCAATCACTTTAGGAATAAAATTAGAGATAAGATCAGTATCTGGGTGATTAACTGAAGAGTAGCACTCAGAGAAGTAGTTGACTGCCTCCCTGCTAATATCCTCCTGGGTTGAGTGATGGTTGCCATTAGCATCTTGAATAGATCTGATAGTAAGTTTACTCCTTTTGTGTTTAACAAAAGAATGAAAAAACTTAGAGTTGCAATCCCCCTCAGACATCCACTTGATGTTAGCCTTTTGTTTCGAGAAGCAAACCTCCCTGTTGAGACTAACTATGAGATTAGCAGAAGTTAGATTAGCAGCAGTCCTCTTCTCCTCATTAGGATCCATCTCATATTCTTCTTGAGCTTTACAGGCTGTAATTTCATTATCTTTCACCTCTTGGAATATATTGCCAAAGTGCAGTTTGTTCCAGGTTGAGAGAATTGATTTGAGACCCTTTAGCTTCATAGCTAGACCTGCCATACCTCCAGTCCTAGGGCTATTAATCCAGTAATCATTAACTATAGTTAAAAAATTGTGATGTGTAGCCCAGACATTAAGAAACCTGAAAGGTTTAGGTCCTTGAAATCCCTCTTCCTTACAAATGAGAAGCATTGGTTTGTGATCAGAAGATGTCTTACTGAGGTGGGTGATACTGATATCTCTGAAAAAAGAATTAGCATTGGAATTGATGAGGACCCTGTCAAGTCTCCTCCAAAGCTTACCCTTACTTCTAACTCCAGTCCAAGTGAAAATCCCTCCAGAAAAGGGTGGTGAGTGAAGCCCGCAAGCATCAATACAGTTCCTAAAGTCATTCATATCAGTAAAGTCTGGATTAGTGTTACCTTTATGTTCATCCATGCTAAGAATTGTGTTGAAATCACCCCCCACAATCCAAGGGTGATTACAAGTGTGTGCCTTGAAAATTTCCTCCCAAAGTATCCTTCTTCTGGTTGTGTTGTGACCCCCATAAACAGCAGTGATTGTTATGTTGGTGTTGAGTTTGATATTCCAAAAGTCAAAATTGATACAGTGGCTTGCTTCACTGTATCCTTGTATTTTTAAGTCACTATCTCTCCAAAAAATCTACATTTTATTGTTGAGCCCACCTTTGGAAAGAGGGAAACCTAGATTGATTCTGTACCAATCACTTTTATCATCTGAGACAATAGGCTCAATAACACAGAGGAAATCAATAGAGTTAGAAGTGGTTAAAGTTTTTAGCCTATTAAGGGAAGAGGCTGCTCCACGAACATTCCAAAATAGGCAATTCATAAAAACTTTTTAAGAGGTCCTTCTAACATTCTTGTTTGACTCCTAGTCATAATTGTCCTTGCATAAGAGTTTTTATCCTTGAATGTAGCTTTAGGGATAGCAAGAACTGGGGAATTTTCCTTTGGAATAGGAATCTCAAAAGGTTCGAGTGCATGGTTGACCCAAATAACTGGATCCCTTTCCCCTTCTGAGTGATATCCTGCTTCAGGGAGGTCTTCATCCTCACATTCTCTATCTGATCCCAAATCCTCTATATCAATTAACTGAATCTGATTCATATTGGAGTCATCCTTGGATCCCTTAGAGAAAAAAGTAAAAAATTATATATTTTCTTAAAGAAGTAAAAAAATAAAAAAAATTGATATTTAGATATTCAAGAAAAATAAAATTTTAAATTTTAATAAAATACATAGAGAGAATACACAAATTAAATTTCCAATATTATTTTTTGGAGAAAATAAATTTTTCGTTTTAAGACAATAAAATTAAATACTCAATTAAAATCATTAAAGCCGATTAATTTTCCATCTTATACGGGCATATATTCTCCCACGTACTCAAAAACTTTTTCTCCTTTCTTTGGTTTCTTAGGTCTCACAAAATCTTTCTCGTTTCTATTACTCTCTCTATCCCTTAAGATTCTTACCTTCTTGACTTTTTAGGAAATTAAGGGAGATATATATTGGTGTTGACTTTCCAAAAATACCCTTGATGTGATGGGTAAAAATAAGATGTGATGGATAGATTATTAGAGAAAAAGTATGATGTGATAGGTTGGGTATGAAAAACTAAGAGTAAAATGGTTTTTTAATAGAAAGTAGAAGTATTTTGTTGGAAATGAAAGAAATGAAAGAGGAAATATTTTTAAGAACGGAGGGAATAAAAGAAAGAAAACGCAATACATGATTCTTCATATTTGGGAAGATAAATTTCACAAATAAATTTTGGGATGCTCTGTAGTAAATAGATCAGTCGTGATAAAAGGATTTAAAATTAAATATCTCAGTCCTGTTCAAATTAGATTCGTTCGGCATGAAAAATACAAATCTCGTTTAAAAGCACGACAAACAATAATTGGTACTATTCCGATCCGGTATGATGCCATAATAGTTTGATTTTTTCATACACGCCACAAAATGCTATTCCCTCCGATCCTAAAATCATTGAAGTTATTGATTTATAAGAGATTTAAGAGAAATGTGTTTTGGCATTGAATTTCCAAAAAGTCCTTTGATGTAATGGGTAAAAGTAAGATTTGATGACAAAATTATTAGTAAAAAGGTATGATGTGATATGTAAGATATGAAAGAGTAAGAGATAAAAGTGATTTATTAATAAAAATAAGAAGTATTTTTTAGGACGAATAAAAAAAAAGGAGAAAAAGTTTCAGGGACGGAGGGAGTACCGAGTACCTTATTAATGAGGGAGTAAGAGCATCACTACTCCTCTATTTTCTCCCAAATCATCTACTTCCTTTATCCCCGAAAGATGTTCCCTTATTGATTTCTTGGAAAATTAAGGGAGAGATATTTTTGTGTTGATTTTCCAAAAATATTCTTGATGTGATGGACAAAAGTAAGATGTGATAGATTGATTATTAGTAAAAATGTATGATGTGATAGGTAGGGTAAGAAAAAGTAAGGGGTAAAAGTGGTTTTTTAATAGATATAGGAACATCTTTTAGGGACAAGAAAAAAATGAAAGGTGAAGATCTTTTGAGGACGGAGGGAGTATTTCCAATGCCATGTCACTTTCTTCTATAAAAATATGACATTTCAAAACTATGTGTCAAAACGAATCTATTGATATTAAATTTAGGAAAATTTACTTAAATAACACTAAAACATAATGACTTTTCTTAAATAGCACCACATGTGTTTTTCTTCCTAATGTAGCACTTCTAGTTATTATGCATTAGTCATTATTCAAGTAAATATTTGTCATCACTGGACATTATGGACATTATTAAGTGTTATTTAGGGAGTAAAACAATTTAAGTGTTATTTAAAGAAAGGAAAAATTATCCAAAATAATCTCAACTTTACCCAGTCTTTCAAAAATAATCCCACCTTTCACAGTGATGCAGGTTGAAAATGATAATTAAACAGAAACAGAAAATGATAATCCCACCTTTCCGTATATATTTATTTTATTTCAGAAATGAAGGTTGAAAGTAATTCAAAAAATAAAAATTTCAAAAAAAATTAAAAACAAAAAATTCATTAAAAATAATCTCAACTTTCATTTTGTTGCCTAAAACGGGCATTTCTGTTAACCCTCAATTAGAAACTTAACGGCGACCCAAAGTTGACAAATTTCAATAAAGTTGGGATTATTATGCATCACAGTGAAAGGTGGGATTATTTTTGAAAGACCGTGTAAAGTTGAGATTATTTTGAATTATTTTTCTTTAAAGAAATGACATAAGTTTTAGTGCTATTTATTGCAAATATTTCTTAAATTTATTTCACAATTCAATATGCTTTTACAATTATTCATGGTCAAAATTAAAAGACGTTTATTGCAAAAATCAAAATGAGAAGAATGATATGAGACGGATGAAGTACTCCGTATATGATATGGACAATTGAACTTTCGTAGAAATTCCAAAAGATTAACGTTATGTTTTGTTTGAAGAATTACGATAAAAAAGAAAAACTTTTAATATTTTTCTCTCAGCAAATTCAAAGAAACTTTTAATCGTTATGTTTGGTTTGAAGATTAACCTACATATGAGCAAAATAAGTATTCCCTCCGTCCCTAAATAGAATACAACTTTTTTCTCTCTTCTCGATAACTTTTGTTTATTTACGCGATATCATTAAGTATTTGATAAAATAAAATATTTTTGTCATCTCTTGTTTTGTAGAACTTTTGACGTAATTTTTTTATATCTTATTGAGATACCAATTTATAAGTAAAATGATTTTAAAAAGTAGGAAATTTTACTCCGTAACCCGCAATTTGTAATCAAATTGGGGACGGATCGGAGGGAGTATTTCTTTACTAATTAAATAAGCATTTATTTTTTTAAATAAAAAATAAAAAAATTATATGAGAAGGTCCATATAAAATGATATGCCTCCAAAATGCACCAAAGAAGCACTCAACTTTGTAATTTTGCTTCGACTTATGGAGTAGTTCTTTTTTCATTTTCTTTTTTCATCTAACCAAATAAAAAAATTACGGCTTATATTTAATATAACAGGGGTATTAATATTTTTTCTTTTCTTTTAACTGTGAAATTTCTTTATAGCGAACTACAGTAGGTGTACGTGAACAGTTTAATTATATTTAGAAAGACAAAGCACTATAGCTTGTGAATAAAGCACTAATAGAAATGCATGTCTGAACTGAAACAGCGGTGATCATGATATGGTAGTTCCCTTTCAATCAACCGAAGCGTGGATAAAATCTTTGAATTACTCCATCCATTTTGACTGGGTTCCCTATATGGTAAAAGAGCAAGTTGGCGGGTATGCATGCACTTCTTTTCTTAATTAATACTACAGTAAAGATTATTATTATTATTATTATTATTATTATCATCATCATCATCATCATCATCATCATCATCATCATCATCATCATCGCAAGTAGTTTTATTTCCAAAAAATCTAATCATATTATATTTCCAATATCTTCTTGTTTACTATTTGTCTCCAGTTACACGAGAAATTTTACCAATCAAATGACTTTTGCAACAGTGAAGGTAAGTACTCCTAACATATACTCCATATTTCAATGAATTAAGCTACTTATACCCCAAAAATTATACTACTTCTTCCGTTTAGAAAAAGTATTCCTCTTTTGACTATGTGTAAAAATAAGATGGTATTAAATTGTAGTTGACTTTCAATTTTGCCCTTGATGTGATAGATAAAAGTAAGATGTGATGGATAGATTATTAGAGATAAAGTATGATGTGATAGATAGGGTATGAAAAAGTAAGGGTAAAAGTGGTTTTTTATAGAAAGTGGAAGTGTTTTGACGGAAGTAAAAAAAATGAAAGAGGAAGTGTTTTTTAGAACGGAGGGAGTACATTTTACTCCAAAGAAATGCACCACATTTTATGTTAGTGTAATGGTTTATAATGACATAAAATGTTAGTGCAATTTTTTTTAATTACACTAGTATTTTATACCAATGTAAATCATGAAAATGTCAGTGCATCTCTTTAGGGTACAACTTAAAATACATTTTTTGGTGTACTCTTAGCATGGTTGTATTTTAATTTTAAGCCCCTCCTTACTCCTCGCGTGTATGTTTGTATAAGCCAAAATTAAAGAATAGCCCAGAGTATTAGCTATAACCAGTATGTATAGTTTGTTTAACTTTTCTTTAATTATAGAAGAAATTGTTTTATATTACACAAGTATATCCTTAACGATAATGACATTGGAGAAAGTCATTATATTTTAGTTCTATTTAAGTAAATTTTTCATCTATTGAAGTGAACAGTACAAGATCAAGTCATGCGATTTGAACCTTATCGAGTTTCCAATCTAAAATCATTATGGATGATTCTCCTATCACTCAAATCAAGAAAAAAATTCTACACAAATTATTTATAGTTTATATTGAAAATACACTATGTTATCATATGAAATTAATATCATTAGATTTACTCGGGTATTTTATAATGTACTTATATAATATTCTCTCTGTTTAAAAAAACTCTTCATTTCTTTTTTGAAATGTCCAAAAAAAATTTCTCTTTCATAGTTTTGGAAAAAATTTAGTGACTCACAATCTTTATTCTCATCTCGATCATTTTTAACTATATAATTTTACTTTTTCTTAAAAGTTGTGTCCCCCAAATGAAGAACTTTATTTTAGAATGAAGGGCATATGATACATTTTTATACTCCATCCATTTAAGAGTATTCATTCAATTTGATTTTTTTGAGTCAAACTGGACAAACTTTAATCATTAATTATTCTCAACTTGTATTGCATTTTAATACAATGGAATAAATTTTTGAAATTTTTAAACAACTTAAATATTTTAAAATGATTTTTATACTCATATATACATCATAATTTTTACTTAATTAGGGCCCAAAGTTCGTTCAATTTTACTCGAAAAAATTAAAATGGAAAAATACAAACCGATGCAAAAGCCCTCCCCAGAAATGGCGTCAATTCAGGGAAGAGGCGTTTTGAATCAGTTATTACCAAAAAACCGATGCAAAAGCTCATTCCTAGAAATGACACCATTTTTGGGTAGAAGCATTTGAATCGGTTATTTGGTAATAACCGATTCAAAAGACTAGACATTTGAATCGGTTATTACCAAATAACCGATTCAAATGCCCTTCTCTTGGAAAGGCGCTTTTGGATCGGTTATTTGGTAATAACCGATTCAAATGTCTAATCTTTTGAATCAGTTATTACCAAATAACCGATTCAAATATATAAAATTTTCAAAAGGCCTATTTTGTTTGTTCTCGATCCACTCCATTTCAACTTTGCAGAGAATTTAACCCATCAACACAACAGTAACTAACACAAATGCATTCACAAAACTCAAATGCCACAAAACAAATTAAACCAAAAAAGTAAACATTTACATCCATGCACTTGTACATGTTAAAAAATATAAGAGTAAAACTACTACGTACTCTTCTAAGTTTTAACAACACAACTAAAAGCCAAACAACTACAATGTACTCTACTAACTTACATTTAATTATACTATACAATACAACACAAATGGAACTTACACAAGTTCATCGAGAAAACCCCCCGCCCAAAACTCTTTTGAATCGGTTATTACGTTTAACCGTATCAAATGGTTACTGATAGGCGAACTTTTTTTTCCATTTAAATCGTTTGTTTCGCGAACCGATGCAAATGTGGTGATTATTTGGTCGTTTTTGTAGTAGTGGCGGACGAAGTATATTTTTATCCTAACTGGTTTATAAATAAATTTCAATCTCATTTTTTTTAAAAAAATTATTGTTCTATAGGGTGGTACCTTCCAATCCTCTTTTCTAATGTCTAAGAATGTGAAGTTTATTTAATTTAAAGACAAAATGAAAAGTGAAGTGATATATTCCGATCCGTTTGTATATTGAAAAAAATGGCAGGCAGCAGGGCATATAGCAGGGGAGTACAAGCCTGAGGAATGCGGTGCTTTGATTGCTAGATGGATATCTGGAAAAGATATATCAACATTTCCTCAGGACATTGTCTAAGCATTCTAAATTTCATATTTATACATCAAATATATGTATGTATTTTTTTAAAGCATGCCATGTTTTTTTTTGTGAGGGACAGCGACGATATTTTCAAGAGAATTTATATAATAAATAAACACATTTTAATTTGCCAATATTTAAGTGGCTATTAAAAACTGGTTTTTTAAGAAACAACTCTTTCAATTAGTGTTAGCGTTTTGTATTATTTTTAAATTTTTATAGTATAGAATAACTCTGAAAATGTTAAAACTTTACTACTCTCTCCGTCCCAAATTAAATTGTCTGTTTATTATTCACAAAGTCAGATATCATTCATTTTCTTTGTTTTCTAGAATTTTTTTGGTTAGTCCAAAAAATATCTAGTATAAAAAATAAAAATATGGTAAAACGAACTAAAAAATTGAAACATGTGAAAAAGAATCTTATACAAAAAGGAATTTTCAGAACGTAAAAAATCCTTAGAAATTGGGATGTCCAAAAAGGATTCATTTTGATTTTTTTGTTTTATTTTATTCCTCATTTTTTGAAGTTCATAAAATAATTACTTTCTTATTTCAGAAAACAGAAAATAACTTGTATTTGTACTCTTCAATTCATGGTGGAGAGAATTTGTAATCTGGTGAGAATAAAGTTTTTCTCTTCTGTTCGTGGAGGTTACTAACAAGCAATTAGTAAACCATGTCAAATCTTTATCTTTTACGTGATGATCAATTATTTGTGTTCATACTTTTTCGCGTCTGATGGGCCGATACCCAGTGGGCGGCCCAAATGAACCATTTACACAACTTCGGGTCAAGCACTTGGAAAATACTCAGGCCTGGGCCGGCCTATGGAGCCAGGCCCGGTTAACTTTAGACCAAGGGTAGCTGGCAGAGTCAATCCGGAGAAGAAGACGGAGCAGATCGGCGGTTACGGAGCCGGAAAAAAGGGATCGCGCCATTGGCGGGATAGACTCCATCGATTATGCATTACCTTAATTGCTTAGAGCTCATGTATAAATAGAGGAGACCCGAAAGAGGAGAACTCAAGCTAAACCAAGCTAATATTACATACCCAATTCTCGAATTGTCATTCTTAATTTTGTTCTTACGATCCGCCTTTTGAATCGGATCATTTGGTGGATTTATTGTCCATCAAATTGGTGCTCTCATTGAGAGTTCGGGAATCATACTCAGAGGAAACCCTCCACAGAGACGATGGTGCAAACACGCAGCAACGCCAACATAGGTACCGGAGTTCCCCAACAGGGGGAGAACAACGCCACTGGAGGCCGGCACCCCCCCATCACCACGGGGGAGGCTGAGGCCCTCATCCAGAGGGTTGAGATTACAGCCGAGCAATTCAAGGAGGTACTGGCTGCACTCACACCCAATCGCGAGATTGTGGTAGAAGATGTGGCTGGGGGACCCACAGGCAGGAAGGCTGGACCTGTGGGCTCCCAAGGGAAAAAGAAGAAAGTAAGGCAGTCCTAGAGGAAGAAGGCGACCAAGCCTAATGGGAAGGCTGTGATGGCAGACGCGCTTTCCAGGCTGGAAGAAGAGGACGAGTCGTCCTCCTTCGAGCGGATGTCTGCTTTTGACCGTTTGGGAGACCCCAGGTCAAAGAAACCTCGGACCTCTGCGTTCGAACGGTTGCAAGACACTCGGTCGGCCCGGAAAGGCGACTTGAGGGACACGCTCAAGGAGAAGAGAGGGGAGTCCACAGCGACCTCCAAGGTCGGTTCTGAGGAGCGACGGACGACAGTCGGGGATAAGGGCGCAGCCGAGCTGTGGAAAATGTACGAACAACTGGAGAAGCGGCTGTACGCCCAGAACCCCTATCGTCAGGCGGTCTTCAGTGAGGTAACGCCCTTCTCCAGAAGGATAATGTCTTGTCCTCTCCCGGATAATTTCAAGACTCCCCAGATCAAAGCGTACAACGGGACAACCGATCCCCAAGACCACATTGCTCGCTTCGGGGCAAACGTGGTCATGTATGCGTACCCCGAAGAAATCAAGTGTCGGTGCTTCCTGGCGACGCTGGAAGGGCAGGCTTGTGAATGGTTCCACAAGTTACCCAAGGGGTCGATAGATAAGTGGAGCGACCTGGCCCACAAATTCTTGGAGCACTTCGCATCTAGCCGGAGACAAAAGCTCCCCTTCTCGCATCTGCTCAATGTGAAGATTCGGAAGGGGGAACAGCTCCGAGAGTTCATTAATAGGTGGGAGAAGGAGGCTAGGGACGTCCAAGGAGCGGACGACCAAGCCCTGATCGCCATGCTCCAAGCTGCACTCCCCCAAGGGGATGTGCGTAAGGAGCTGCGACGGAATCCTCTCTCGACCTATCAAGAGATGTTGGCCAGGGCGAAGTACCTGGCGTTGGAAGAAGAAGATGATGAGCCACCAGTTCGGAGGGAGAAGAAAAGCGGGCCACCGGTGGCAGAAGGAAAGAAGAGGAAGGACTATGGTAAGGGGCCGAACCCCACTGGGTATCATGCAAACAGGCATCCTGTTCATGCGGTACAGTCGTTGCCTGCCCCTCCTCACAGTCGGGAAAGCTATGGTGTGCAAGATTCACCCAAATACTGTGAGTACCACCGTAACAGCACCCACAACACGTCGGAGTGCGTTACGCTGAAGAAGGAGATGGATCAGTTGATCGCTAGGGGGCCGCCTCCTCGGTCGGAGCGACCGTCCTCAGGTAATCGGACCTGGAGGAGACCGCCAGCCCCCACAGCAGCGATCACAGCAGGAGAGGGGCAAGAAGATGGACGGCGGCATCTCGGACGAGATTCTGACGATCTAGATGAGGAGGAAAGGCAAGGTCGCCAACACCTGGGGTGTCGGTTCATCATGGGGGGAAACACGGGAGGAGATTCGGTATCCTCCCGAAAGAAGTGGAAGAACATGGTGTACCTGGCCGAGGTACAAAGGCCGCCGCTGCCTAAGCGGAAGAAGAAGGAACCCCTGATCTTTACTGACGAGGATTATCCACCAGTCCTCAGCCCTCACAGGGACGCTCTGGTAATAAAAGTAGAAATCAATAATGTGGTTGTTCACCGGACTTTGGTCGATACTGGCAGCTCGGTCAATGTTATGTATAGCAACACCTTTAAGGAGTTGGGGTTGTCTCGAAGCGACCTGAAACCGATCCATACGCCACTGTCAGGGTTTACAGGGGATACTATCGAAGCGGAAGGAACTAATACGGTGAAGGCCGGGGTAAGAGATGGCACCCACCGACTCTGGATCGACATGGAATTTATGGTAGTGCAGCTCGACTGTGCACACCATCTGATTCTGGGGCGACCAGGCTTGGAGGACCTGGAGTGCGTGATCTCCCCCGTCCACTTATGCTTAAAGTTCAATACTCCCACAGGGGTGGGGGTGGCAAAGGGGAACCAGAGCCTGTCACGGTCGTGCTACGTCAGGGCGACCAAAAGCCAAGCCCGAGTCGACGAGAATGTGTGCACGATCTGTGCGACAATCCAGAAGGAGGAGGGGCGACCCCAAGCTGAGCCGGCGGAAGAAGTCGAAGAGGTTTCTTTGGACCCGACCAAGCTAGAGCGGAAGGTGAAGGTAGGTAAGACCTTACCACTTAAATTAAAGGAGCAGTTATTGGAGGTCCTCCAAGTGTTCAAGGTGTTATTCGCTTGGTGTCCAGAGGACATGCCAGGGGTCGACCCAAAAATCATCTGCCATAGATTGGCAGTGGATCCGACCCACAAGCCGGTCAAACAGAAGAAACGTTTTCTTTCCTCTGAACGGAGAGAGTTTGTCACCACGCAGGTGACCACCCTACAATCCATGGGGCACATCCGGGAAGTCCGCTACCCGGAATGGTTGGCAAATGTAGTCCTCGCACCCAAAGGGAATACCTGGCGGATGTGCGTCGATTACACTGATCTAAATAAAGCCTGCCCGATGGATCCTTTTCCTCTCCCCAACATTGATCAGTTGGTTGATGAGACGGCAGGGTGTGAGCTGATGAGTTTTATGGACGCATTCAGTGGGTACCATCAGATCAAGATGGTCGTGGCGGATGAAGAAAAGACCGCTTTCATCACCCCCAATGGGGTATACTGTTACAAGGTGATGCCCTTTGGTTTGAAGAATGCTGGGGCGACTTATCCACGGATGGTGAACAAGCTGTTCGCGCCGGTACTAGGGGGGTGCATGGAAGCGTATGTGGACGACATGATCGTCAAGTCCAAACGGACGGAGTCTCATACCAGCGACCTAGAGAGGGTATTCAAGATCATGAAGAAATTCCAGCTTCGCCTTAACCCCAAGAAGTGTACATTTGGGGTTCAGGGGGGCAAGTTCCTAGGACATATGGTCAGCCGGAGAGGAATCGAGCCTAATCCGGAGAAGGTAAAGGCGATTTTGGAGATGGAGCCTCCGCGAAATGTGAAGGAAGTCCAGCAGCTCACCGGCAGGATTGCTGCTCTCAGTCGCTTCTTGTCAAAGATAGCTGATCGAGCGGCTCCTTTCTTTCAGACCATTAAGAAGAGTAGAGGGTTCGTTTGGACCGAGGAATGTCAACGGTCTTTTGAAGGGTTAAAAGCATATCTCCTCTCCCCACTGGTGCTTTCGAAGCCAGAGCCCGGAGAGACCTTATTCCTATACTTAGGAATCTCTCCTCGAGCTGTGAGCTCGGTGCTTGTGAGGGAGGAGGAGGGCACACAGCAACCTGTGTACTATGTGGCCCGGGTGCTGCGAGGGGCGGAGTTGAGATATACAAACATGGAGAAAACCATCTTTGCGGTGGTATATACGGTGAAAAAGCTCACGCCGTATTTTCAAGCCCATCCGGTCAATGTGTTATCACAAATTCCCATCGGAACACTTCTTCGAAGCCCAAATGCCCCGTCGCGGGTCAGCAAGTGGGGGGTGTTCCTGGGATCTTTTCAGATAGAGTTCAAGCCGCGACCGGCGATAAAGGGGCAGGCATTAGCAGATTTCGTGGTAGAGTGCACTGCGAGAGAGGTAGATCCTAGTGGAGAAGACCCCAAAGGGAGTTGGTGGACCGTGTACACCGATGGATCGTCCGCAACTGATGCTTCGGGGGGAGGTGTCGTGGCGATATCGCCGGAAGGGTTCAAGGCATACTACTCCGTGAGATTCTGGTTTAAAGTCTCGAACAATGAGGCTGAATATGAGGCGCTACTTTGCGGTTTGAGGTTGGCAGCTTCATTAAAAGCTGAGCGAATCCAAGTCCGGTGCGATTCCAAGCTAGTAGTAGGCCATGTCACTGGAGAGTTTGAGGCCAAGGATGAGCGGATGAAGAGGTATAGAGACACCGCCCTGGAGTTGCTTAAAGCATTTGGGGCATACCGGATAGAACAGGTCCCTCGAGAAGAGAACGCTGAGGCAGATATCTTGTCAAAACTTGGCCCGGATTCCCCCGATCATATTAAGGCGATGACTCAGGAAGAAAAGTTGCTCGAGCCAAGCATCAGTCCCGGACAAGTGCTGATCATCACACTCGGAGAGGAGCCGGACTGGATTGATGAGATTACCATGTACCTCCTTGACGGGTCGCTACCTACCGACCCAATCGCAGCAAAGGTGGTAAAGCGACGTGCACCCAGCTACACGCTGGAGTGCGGTCGGCTGTACAAGCGATCGTACAACGGTACATTGTTGATGTGCTTAAGAGCGGGCGAGGCGCAGAAGCTGATGGAGGAAATCCATGAAGGAATATGCTCAGCACATCAGGGAGCCTTCACGATGTCCAGGAAGGTATCCCTACAAGGATACTTTTGGCCTACAATTGTCAGAGATTGCGGAGAATACGTGCGCAAATGCAAGGTTTGCCAGGAATTCCAAAGGGTACCGGGGCGACCGGCGACGAATTACACCCCGATCAGTACGACGATTCCTTTTGCTCGGTGGGGCGTCGATCTGGTTGGCATCTTGCCTCGGGGGACCGGAAACAACACATACCTGGTGGTCGCGATCGACTACTTTACCAAGTGGGTTGAGGCCGCTCCTGTGCCGACCATCACTGAAGAGCAGATGAGGAAGTTCGTTTCCAAACAAATTTTGTGCCGATTTGGGGTGCCCCAGCAGATCATCACCGACAATGGAACCCAATTCGAGGCCAGAGGATTCAATGAGTTTCTACAGAATTGCCCTACATTTTGTGGACCTACAGAACTACCCCAAGGAAGGCCACAGGTGAAACTCCTTTCTCGCTCACATATGGATTTGAAGCAAGGGCTCCAGCGGAAACTTCGTTGTTGAGTTATAGAGTGGAGACGTTTGATGCTCAAGAAAATGAAGAGAACTTGAGGGCAGAACTGCACCTCATTGATGAGCGGAGGGAAAGGGCATACATGCGGGCAGAAAACTACCGCCGGCAGGTCAAGTCATATCACGACCAGCGGGTGCGACCAAGGCAGTTCAAGATGGGCGACTGGGTCCTTCGGGAAAGGGAGGTCAGTCGGCCGACCGATGGAGGGAAGTTCGCTAAAAGCTTTGAGGGGCCATATATCATAAAGGAGGTGTTGGCTGATGGGACATTTAGATTGCAGACTCCAGCCGGTGGCGACGTTCCGCGAGTATGGAATGCCGCCAACCTTATCAAATTTTATCAATAGATTGTATATTCCAGCCATGTCTCTCTCTTGAAGTTTAATAAAACCAGCTTTCTGGCACATCTTGTCTTCAATTCTCAAAAAAAAAGGAGCGACCACAAGAGATCGCTAAGCCTAAACTGCATGGTGATTCGTGCTAAGATACGCAGTAGTGGGTGAAGCGTCGAACTCAAACAAGCGACCAAGGTTGAAGACGACGCCGTGGCAAGAAAGCCTGAGAAAACGGCTAAGTCTGGGACACAAGATCTATTGATCGCATGAGCGAACAAGGGATCTTGGGGGTATGGCAACGCCACAAGGGTCAAAGTAACCCGAAAATGGTTAAGTCAAAAGAGGCGAGGTATTCTCTGATTTAAGTCTGAGGAAACCTGAACGTCTAAAGTGGGATGCGAAAGAGAAGAAGGTGAAACTTGTAAGTAAACAGGTAACATCAAAATACATTCACAAAAACGTTCATTACAAGGATAATCTCTTGCATCCGCTACAATACAGTTGAGAACAATCTCTACGTAAGGAGGGATACTTTCCCATACATCTCTTACAATGAAAAACAACAATCTAAGACTTTGCGAGCACAGGTCTAGGGGGGATAGGCAGGTTTGAAGGGTAGTTCTGCAGCTATATAGGCAGGCAGAACTCCGATCACCGGCCGTCCAGGACGACCACCTTTCTTCCCCATCATGGAACGGGAGTGGTCGCCCCCAGCCTCGGCAAAAACCCACCGCCCTTCTCCTACCAAGGAAGGACGGGGGACGGCTCACTTCTCTGTGAACCCCAACCAGCATCACCTAGACGAGGATGGAGATCCTGAAGCCGCTCGAGTTACTCCAGGTCGCCTAGGGGTCTTCTGGGGAGGTGAATGGCAAGTGGGGCGAGGTAGGGAAGAACCCAGTTCTCCCCCCAACACAACCTCCTCCTTAAGCCTCACCGGCGAACTGGTGCGACTTTCGCTAGTCCATCGCTCAAGACTTGCGTAGTATGCACACTCATGCTCCAGGAGGGGTAAGTGCTCATCTTAAAAACTCTCCCAGGCCATGCATTGCAGGGAATGGAGGGGGCATGGAGCATCCCAGTCAATCCGCCCATCAGGCAGGCGGTTGGCGGAGAGGGCCTTGTACGCTTCACTGAAGTCGTCGTAAGGGTTTGGTGGTAGTGGCGGCGGTTTCACCGATGGCCACTGCCGGCGAGGCAATCGGCGACAGAATTCGTAAGGGTCTAGCCCCCCCTAGTCATTGGAATTCACTGACTTGGGGGAGGAGGCAGGCTCCGGCGAAGAAGGAGCCGGCCCGTCGGAAAGACTCAGAGAAACAGGAATTCCTTCAGACATGGCAAAGTTGGAGGAAAGGAAAATATTTGGTGATGGAGCAAAGTAGACGCTAGGGGGGCTTATAAATAAGCCAGGGCGAAGGAACCGAAGAGACGGTCAAGTCTCAAGGCAGCTGAACCGATAAAGCAGCTTTGAGCCGCGCGAAGGTCAATCAGAAACTGTGAAGGGCATTGGGTCAGTTGGGCGGCACACTGGCCAATCCAGAGAATGGGCCTGGACAGGTAAGCGGGTCGGGACTAGGAGTTGGGCCCAAACTAAAACATACATGTTAACCAGCTAAATTAAAAAAGAGAGTGCTGAAGTAAAGCGCCGAAAAAAGAAAGCACATGGTGAATCCAGAAAATCAAACAACATAGGAGCATTGTATCAAAACGACAAATCATTCCGAAGGAAAAAAGAGAGGCAAGTGTTTGTAGAGCTGTGGGGGAACAACAGGGGAATTTAGACGGCCGAGCCGGAATGTCCACCCGCTTTGGACATGGCTAAGCTGGCCCCTGGATTCTGGTCGCCCTGTCCACCTTCCTCTTCTTCTTCTTCCTCTTCTTCAGACGCGCTTGAGCTCCCTCCGTCCAAGTAAGGGCTGGGGTCGAACTCTGCCAAGGAACGGCAAGGAGGGGGAAAGCCGAGGTCGGGGAGAGAAAATCCTTTGGGGAGCTGAGCCAGTCTGTCGCGGAAGACCTGCTGGGCGCGGAAGAGTCCACAATTGAAGGACTTGGTTCCCTCCTTGACCATCCATTGAGCCCCAGGTTCAGTTTTGAGCCAAGCGGCTGTCAGCTCTTCCATCCGCTCCATCGCGACCATCGTGAAGTCAGGAGAAGACTTGAAGGATTCTACCGCTTCCTCTGCATGGCGGACCCGGTCGCTCCTCTCCACTTTCAACTGCTGGATCAGATCAGACTTCTCCCCCTCCAGCTCGACCACGCGAGCAGAAACAGATTCTACCTCCAAGGACAAGGAGGCCATGTCTGCCTCAAGGGCAACGCAGCAGTTCTCCTGGGAAGTTTTCTCCGCAGCAAGCGCCGCGCAGCGATTTTCCGTCTCCCCCAGCTCTCTTGTGAGTCGGGCGACCTCCTCCTGCAATTCCTTCTGCCTGGCCTCCGATGTCTTCAACGCATCGCCCAAGGCAGCTTGGTGACCCCGTCTCTTACCAACCACCTCGATCATCCCCAGCGTGGCCTGCACCAAGGCATGGGGGTTAAGAACGTAAAAAAAAAGGAGTGCAGAGAGAATCAGCGCAAGTACTTGGCTTAGCCTCAAGAGGACCATGTTATCAAGGTCGTCCTCAGAACCAGCCGAGATGCGGGCTTGGTCCTCTGCGGGCAGGGTGATCAGGGTCTCCAGTTGCACGTCCCCTAAGCTTTGGGGCAGAGGAGGAATGCAAAGCCTCGTCGAGCGACCCCCGGTCGCCACCTCGTAGGTCACCGCGGGAGGCGAAGGAGGTCGCTCCGAGGCAACGCCTTGTGACGACCCAGCGAGGTCGCCACCCGGCCTCAAAGAGTGAGGAGGGGAATGGCCCGTCATGGTACCCGTTTCCAGGGTAGCATCATCCTGGTCCTCCACCACAATTACAGCTGGCTCTCGGGAAGGACTCTCCCCGTGGTGGGACGAAGAGCGTTTGCCCTGGCCCTTCGTCTCTCTCTTCCTCTTCCTCCCTGCAGTGAAGCGACTGAGCAGGAGATCGCCGTCCATCTCTTCTCCTGAATCTTGTAATTCCACTGGAAACAAAGGAAATGGTCAGTCTTGGAAAAAGATAATGTTAGAATAAGTGCCTTTCACTAGAGGGGGGGGGGGTGAATAGTGAGGCAGGAGAATGTTTATAAATTTTCGCGGAATAAAAATCGCAGGGATAAAGTAAAGAGCGGAATAAAAAGCAGTAAAGGGAGCACACCAAGATTTATACTGGTTCACCACAACGTGTGGCTAGTCCAGTCTCCCGAGAGACTCTCTCGAGCTACACTACTTCCGTTAAGCTTACGGGTGCTTAACAAACCGTTACAACCTGAGAACTCGAGTCCCACGAGCCTCAATACACTTGCTCGGAGATACCGCACTCCAAGACTTCAACCCGAAGGAAAATACCTTTCCTTCGTACAACC